TGTCACCTTATCAGAGTCCTCACCCTGGGCAGCGCTCCTGCCCGGTGTTACATCGTCTCCCATAACCATCTTGCCAACAAATCGATGGGATGTGTCTCCTGCTATTTGGGCAGACAGGGCAGTCTCGGAGGGTGGACTGTGCTGTCCCCAGGTCACACCACAGTGTGGGGACAGATGAGCCTCGGGGTGGCGGGTGGAAAGTGGCACAAGGTGTAGGAAAGTCCCTGGGCAGCGCTCCTGCCCGGTGTTACATCGTCTCCCATAACCATCTTGCCAACAAATCGATGGGATGTGTCTCCTGCTATTTGGGCAGACAGGGCAGTCTCGGAGGGTGGACTGTGCTGTCCCCAGGTCACACCACAGTGTGGGGACAGATGAGCCTCGGGGTGGCGGGTGGAAAGTGGCACAAGGTGTAGGAAAGTCGGGTTTCGGCTCTGTGTCAATCACAGAATGGCTGAGGCTGGGAGGGACCTCTGAGATCCTCTAATCCAAACCCACATGTTGAAGCAGAGGCATCTAAAGCACTTGCCCAGGACCCTGTCCAGATGGCTGTCTCCAAGGACGGAGACTTTGCAGCATCTCTGGGCAACCTGTTCAGTGCTCTGTTACCTTCCCAGTAACAAAGCAAATCATCTGAGTGAGAAGATGACCGTGGGCCAGGAACAGTTGACTGTATCACAGCCACCCTCCCTGTCCTGCTCTGGCACCTAGCGAGGTGACAGGGTGCCTGTCAGCAAGGCCAAACGGGGTTGCTGTGGTGGCTCCTGTCCTCCCCTTGCAAAGGGAGCCGTGTGGGCTGTCGATAAGGCTTGCAGCTCGCTGCCCCAGCGACCTGCCCTCCCTTGTCCCCTTCAGTAGAGGTGCTGCTGAGGGTGCAGCCCGCTCTGTCCTCATGCTTTGTCCCTTCTCTGCTGGCAGGGATGGTGAACCGGGAAGTGCTTGACCAGGTGGAGCGGGGCTACCGGATGCCCTGCCCGCCCGAGTGCCCCGAGTCGCTGCACGACCTCATGTGCCAGTGCTGGAGGAAGGACCCGGAGGAGCGGCCCACCTTCGAGTACCTGCAGGCCTTCCTGGAGGACTACTTCACTTCCACAGAGCCCCAGTACCAGCCTGGTGAAAACCTATAGAGCTGGAGCTCCTCGTGGCACCAGAGAGCCCCAGGCCTGGCGGGGCGTGCGCGGGGCACGCGGCTCGCGGAGCTCTTCCCTCCTCGCGCACCAAGCAGGTTTTGAGGAGCAGCCCCGGGGGGCAGGACAGGGCGATGCCTCCAGGCATGGACAGTGGAGGTGCTGGATTCTCCTGTGGCTAGTTAAGACTTCTGGTGCCCGTTTAAGCAAGCGTTGCTGGGCGAGAGGAGCGGGAAGGCGCCGGCCGGGCCGGGGCCGTCACTCTGGACGGCAAGCAGAGAAGCGGCTCGTGGCACATCGCCTCGGAGAGGCTTTGGAGACATTTGCAGGACATTTCCCCTCTGGCAGCTCCATGGCACCCGTGGGTGGGACGTCGGTGCTGCAGGACACCCCTCCCGCCTGGGACACATGGTCCCTGCCTCCTGCACCCCTTTGTGCAGCAGCACAAACCTCCTTGCCCCCTTCACATGCCCCTCTCCATGCCCCGTGCCAGGCCTCCCCGAGGGGCCCGCAGAGACATTTCCTTTTGTGGAAGGCTCCACCGTTGCTGTTTGTGACTTGGATACCCTTCCAGAGGGCGGTTATCACCTTTGGGTGCCCCCTTTGCCCAGAGGTGGCACCTTTTCCGTGCTCGCCGTGGCACCGCTGCCGACGTGGGGCAGGAGCTGGGACGCTGGCCGTTCTGCATCGCTCCGCTCCGAGCTCTCTGGCCATCCCCGGGTAGGACTTTGCGGCTAAGCTGCGTCAACGCCTGCGCTGGGAGTTTTCTATCACTGTGTCACTGCTTAAACGTCACTGCTTGCAGCTCTGGTGATTTCAGCTGTGTCTTGGGGCTGCTGGGGAGCAAGATTGAGTCTTCCAGCTGTGTCTATCCCCAGCAACGGGACCTGTGTCACCTGGGTTGCTACTTCTGGGACCACCACCATGGCAGATGCTACCAGAGCCCCTTCCCTCGCCTTGCTGCCTGAACCCGCTGCCTCGGGTGGCTTTTCTTCCACAAAAGGCTCCTGGTCTTCCAGCCCCTACCCCGCCAACCACGTGAGCAGGCCGGCATGCTGCGCTCCCCATCCCCTT